CTTTCTCTTTCTCCTTCTCCTTCTTCTTCTCTTCCCTCTGCCTCATTCCACTCAATCTGGTATTTCTATTTCGAACCGTCAAGTAAAAAAAAAAAAAACGCAGAGAATATCCACCAACCAGCTGACAACACAAAATATTAATAATAAAACACCAGCATATATAAACAAATGCGCCTCTTTTTCCCCCTGCAAGGCTGAATGCTGGCGGAAACGAGCTGGTTACTCTGGTACACGTCCAGCCAACAGTGACTCACTGCAGCTCTTGAAGGTCGAGCAAGAGTGGCCATGCTAGCGTCCTGTACACACACACATGCATGCGAACACAGCCCGTAAACAATGTACACCCGTCCTTCACAATGTATTCTAAATATTTGTATTTTCTCTTTTATACATAGTTATATTATAAACTTTTATATTTTCTCTTTTATACATAATTAATAAAAAATATCCTTCCAGCCCCACGGCGATCCCCCGGAAACTGCCCCCGTCGGAAGCACCTTCCTCACCCACACGCGCCACACGAAGACGGGAACTCGCCCCAACGCACACACGAACACACACCGTCGACTCAAGAGGGCCGCCGAAGCCACGAAGCCTCAGGAAGCCCCGGGAAGCGAGCGTCGACTGACCACGAGCGAAGGAAACGCGAACGGCTCTGCACACGACCAACGTTCATGTACGATGACGTCACTCTCTCTCGCAGCCACCGACGCGGCCGCCGGCTACACGGGTGGGGAGGGAAGGAGGAGGAGGACGAAGGGGAGAGAAGGAACGAGGAAGAGAAGAAGGAGGGATGAGAGGAGGGAAGGGAGGGAGTGGAGAGAAAGGAAGAAGAGGGAGGGAAGAAAGAGGGGAAGAGGAAAGGAAAGAGAGAGATAGAGAAGAGAAAGGAAGGCAAATAAGGGAAAACGGGGAAATAAGGAAGGGAAAGGGAGAGTAGGAGGGGTAGATACTCGTGAGTATCAAACCTCCCTCTCCCTCCCCCTACCCCTCCAGCCAACCCTCTCCTCTCTCCCCCTCCTCAAAACTGAACCCTCTCCTCTCTCCCTCCCCCCCTCCCCCTCCCCTTCCCCACCCTCTCCTATCCCCTTCCCCCCCCTCACCCCTCACCCCTCTCTCCCCTCCCCCTCAACCCTATCCTATCCCTCCCCCTCCCCTTCCCCTCCCCCACCCTCCCCTCCTCCCACCCCCCCGGTGAACCCACGCAAAGCGACCACAGATTTCCCTCCCTCTCCCTTCACGCCGCTTTGTTTCGCCTCCGCTTCCGGCCTACGCGAGATGAGGGGCCGGGGAGGGGGAGAGGGTGGGTGTTTGAGGTGAGGGGGGGGGGGCGAATCCTTCCTTCCTTCCTTCCTTCCTGATTGATACGCGTTGATGACTTGTCTTGCAGGCGGCTTCCTCTTTTGGTGGGTGGTGGGTGGGTTTCGAGAGTGGGCGCGTAGCGGAGGGTGGCGGGTGGGTTCGAGAGGTGGGGGGGGTGCGTGGGGTGACGAGTTGGGGGGTGGGTGTGGTGGGTGGTGTTGGCAGTTGTTCGCAATTTTGTGTTCACATTATCTTTCGTGTCTTCTCGATATGATAGTATAATTTTCGTACTATTGTCATACTGAACAAAAAGAAAGAAAAAGAAGAAAAAGAAGGCATAAACGAAGACGAGGAGGAAGTAGAAGATAAGGAAGAAGAAGAAGTAGAAAAAGAAGATAAAAAAGAAGAAGACGAAGAAAATTAAACAAGATGAGAAGCTGTTGGGAAGTCCCGATCACTGGAACTTTAAAAAATATAAAATATAAAATAAAAAGCGTACATTCTTTTATTACATCATTTAGTATAAATATATATATATGTATTTTCGTTTTAATTTCGTCTCCTTTTCCTTGTTGTGCTGCTAACCCACACCTGTTTCCCATTAACGAACGCACACTATCCTTCCACACGGGAATACCCCAACTATCTTCACCATCTCAAAAGTAGGAATCATTCGTACAATAATGTCAAGAAACGTTGAAAATACATAAAAAAAAGGTGACAGAGAGAGAGGAAAAAAAGACGGTAGGAAAAAAAGACGAGGGGGGGTAAATGAGCGCATCTGGCATCAACTTCTTATACTGACCACTCACTCAAAATAATGAGGCATGTCCTTCTTCAGAAATGTACGGTGGAGGAGGGGGGATGTGAAGGGATGGAGGAGGGAAGGAGGTGGAGGGAAGGAGGTGGAGGAGGAAGGAGGTGGGAAGGAGTGGAGGAGGGGAAGGAGTGGGAGGGGAAGGAGGTGGAGGGAAGGGAGGAGGAGGAGGTGGAGGAGGGGGAAAGAGGTGGGGGAAAAGGAGGAGGGAGGAGGAGAGGAGGTAGGAGTGGAGGGGAGAAGAGTGAGGAAGAAGGCGATCAGGAGAGGAGGGGAGAGCGAAATAAAAAAAAATAAAACCAAAAAACAATGATTCACAGGCTACAGAAACACAAAGCACAGTCACTCATATCGAGGTTATTTTTTGCAAAGACTTTCTAAAATCGCGATAATGGAAACTGGCAATTTTTTTTCTGTCGAGATGATATTGACTTCTCAAAAACAAAAATTTTTGAAAAAAAAAGAAAAGAAAAGACAAAGAAAAAAAAAACAAAAAAATAACAAAAAAATAAAAAAAAAAAAAGAAAAACCAAAAAACAAAACAAAATAAGAAAAAATAAAGAATAACGGCCATGAAGAAATATATATATACAAAAGGAAAAAAACGGAAAAAAGAAGTAAAAAAAAGACAGGGAAAAAATCGCATACCAAAATTCCTTTTCTATCTTCACGCCAGTGTCCATTCACACTCAAAATTAAACCTCTATGAATCTCAATCTACATCCCGGACGTTGTAACACAGGTGAACGCACGGACACCTTAACTGTTGCTTGCAATCGGAAAATAATCTGCAATTTGCAATGCAACGGGAAAAATTACATTAATCTCTTCAATGTGTCGATGAACTAAGGCGAGGCCGGATGACACCTAAGAGAACAGATGAAGAACATGAGAGAGAGAGAGAGAGAGAGAGAGAGAGAGAGAGAGAGAGAGAGAGAGAGAGAGAGAGAGAGAGAGAGAGAGAGAGAGAGAGAGAGAGAGAGAGAGAGAGAGAGAGAGAGAGAGAGAGAGAGAGAGAGAGAGAGAGAGAGAGAGAGAGAGAGAGAGAGAGAGAGAGAGAGAGAGAGAGAATATGAGCAAACAAGGCCAAACCATAAACACACAAAGGAACAAGCAACTCCCAACAATATCAGCACGACGGAACACACACACTTTACAAGAGACAGGCTCTGGAACGAGCAAAAGAACCACTTGTTTTATCTCTCCTCTCCCTCTCCCTCTTCCTTAAATACACCACTTCCGCCAACTTCAAAAAACAAGAGACAACCGCCAAACCCACATAATCTATTTACTGCAACTTATTAAAATACAATTCTCGTCCTTTATTGTCCCTCTGCATTCTTCGCTAACAACCGGTAATTGTGGTGTCCTTGAAAATATCCTGCTCTCATACTGAGGAAGCGGTGTTCGAAGCACGAGTATGAGGAAAAGGCTAGGAAACCAACGAAACTGGGAGAGGGGATGAGGATGAGATGAGGATGGAGGAGGTGCGGAAGAGGAAAGAGAGAGAGAGGAGAAGAGAGAGAGAGAGGAGGAGGAGAGGAGGAGAGGAGAGAGGAGAGGAAGGAGGAAGGAGGGAGGAGGAGGAGGAGAGGAGAGAGGAGGGAGAGGAGGAGGGAGGGAGAAGGAGGGGAGAGGAGGGGGAGGAGGAGAGAAAGAAGGGAGGAGGGAGGAGAAAAGGAGAGGAGGAGAAAGGGAGGGGAGGAGGAAAGGAGGAGAAAAGGGGAAAAGAGGGAAAGAGCAGGAGAAGTAAGAGGAAAGAAGGAGGAGGAGAGAGGAGGAGGAGGAGGAGGAGAGGAAGGAGGAGGAGGAAAAGTGGTGGAGGAGGAGGAGGAGGAAGTGGTGACGAGAAGGAGAGGAGAAGGAGGATGTGGAGGAGGAGGAGGAGGAAGAGAGAGGAAGATGAAGGATTGGTGATAGTGATAGTGATGATGATAATAAGAAGCAGGAGATAAAGAAGGAGGAGGGAGAGGAGCAAGAAGGGAAGGGAGAGGAGGAATAGAATCGATAGTTCAGAACAATACCACCAATAACAACAAGAAAATAGTGAATGGAAGACAGATATTAACCTTCCTCACAATCTACAGACAACATAATCTCTCAAATAAACCCAAAGCCACTCCATCAGCTCTGTTCAGAAACGAAACCTCAAGCTCTATCCTCTATTGTCTACATGAACAGATGATGCGTCCGTTCTAACTTACGCTCACATTGCAATATATCATCTGTTGCCATGGCTCAGTGACTCAGCTCAACATCCAATTCAATATCAAAGTCTTGAATTTTTATATTATCTTTCTTCTCTGAGTTTGCAGTTTCACTTCCTTCACATTTTATAATGACTTCTGGGAAATATATATATATATATATATATATATATATATATATATATATATATATATATATATATATATATATATATATATATATATATATATAGGCTGACAATAGGGAAATCATACAAGGAAAAAATAACAAGGTTTTTCTGACACTTCATCCAGTACATTCTGGAAACGTCACACTGGAACCGCTACTTATTCCACTCGTTTTACCCTTCTGTGTCCTTCCTGTATTCTTTTGTCTTCTGTCATTGAGCACTTAGTCATAATTCTGCCTTCAATTTTTGTGTTCTTCTCGCCAAAGTATAGTCTTGTTTTATTAGGATTTTGTCCAGCGATAAGAAGTGCTGAATATTCTTAATCATATCTTCTCATGGGACAGTAAATGAAAAATGATCTCTTCAATAACAAGATAAACTAATCTGCAAAACAGCTTCTCTAGATTTTATTGCTTTGAATACACCAAGTCATTAATGAGATCACTATTCAGACTGAAGGAGTATGCAAAAGTATGCAACATAAACAAATAAGCATGTACTCACCTTTCTGCAACTGAGCTGCCCACTTCCGCCATCATGGCTGTCCATTCGCTGAAGATTTCGCTGGCATCTGGACTGAGAACTTCCTCGTCATATCTTGGGGACACACACAAAAGCATATCATTTCATTAAAAATCTGCAGAACTCTTGACCCTTCATTTCCTTTAAAATTTTCAAAGATAACATATGGAAATGCAAAACACAGACTATCTTCAAATATCAGTTTATGTACCATCAAAAAAATCAGCCCTCTTCCACAGGCTAACCAGATTCACAAATCACTGAATGCAATCACCTTCCCTTTCCTACATAGGTATGTTAATAATCACCTGAGAGTTAAAAAGAAAGTATGGCATGATTTTGGCTTTGCTCTTTTGTATGCCACGGCTACAGCTAACTAGAAATTTCAAAGACAACATTTTTCTCAAGGACAACAATACATACAAAACGCCAAGAATAACTCAGCTGTCTTGTTTTTCACGAAGAGAAAGGAGAATATACATAAAATTATCAATAGCATCCCAAAGTCTGTATTTATAAATCAGAATTTGCTTCTATAATATAGGTTAACAGCTGAAAAGATCTTACTGAGTAAACAGATAGCACCTAACTACAAAAACTTTTGAAATAAATACTGCAATATCTTGTAAATCACATAAAATATTTCCAGGATCTGTTCATAAAACAGTATAAGACAGCACATTATTCTCATCCTAACTGATTGCTTGTGCATACGAAATTTCACATATACACATCTGCTTTAGTATATTTCCAGGGACAATAATGAAAAAGTGGTAAAGAAATGACTACTGTTGTAATACTGTTACTAATTACTTATCCCTTACTACATTTTACCAGTTAATCTAAAATACTTGGATTAATTCAGGTAACCTACACATTTATTCTGAAATGGGGTGGTAATTTTTCCTCATTAACCTTATGAGTTGAAACCACAATTTACTTTCAACATAATCTCAACATACTAGGAAGTACCATAGAAAAAATATATTGTAAAATCAGGTTACAATCTAAACTCTATCTTCTGGCAATCACATATCAATATAAATGTAAAATGGAAATACTGCTGCAACAAATCTGCATCAAAAACATCTATTTGAATAATAAAGGTCACAAATAAAAGTTTTAAAAAATCAAATGGAAAGAGATCAAAGCAAAGAGATATCAAAAGCTTTTCCTCTGATGCCGGGCATACAGGAGATTGCCAAAGAGGGGCATAATCTAACACACAAACGTATAAATATGTATATAACGGGAGATTCCAACCTGCGTCCAGGAATGGTAATGCGAAGGTGCATCTTTTTTGGACGCGCCCCTGTTAGGGATCCAGGGAGGCCAACACTGAGGGACGAACTGTTAGAAGACCTGTTAGACGAACTGTTAGATTGACTGTTAGACAAACTAATGACAAACATGCAAACAAAAAAGTTAATGAGAGGACAACACAAAATATAAAATAAAGAGTAAGGCATTTGAAAAAACAAATGTTTATAGTTGCACAGGCAAATAATTCACAAATGAAATCAGAATCATGCATTGTAGAATAATTTCAAAGGTTGCATGCACACAAAACAAAAAACATAATACTAGCTGAACACAATATTAAAGCTGAAAATAATTTGAGAAAACTTTAAATATTTTCAGTTTACTATGCATGACAAACTTAAAATGACTGAATTGCTTAGGAAATTTGGTGAAATTATATTAAAGGCTTAAATGACAATCCTAAACTCAAATATGTATATTTAAAACAAAAATAAAATCAAAATTAACAAAACAGACATAACATTATTCAACTTCTTACCAGACAGCAGGAATAAAAATATAAAAGTAAAAGTGTTTAGGAAATGAAGGAGGTACTGGACAGAATCTTGCATATTACGGCAATGCACACCATCAATTTCCACATGACAGAGCTGGATCCAATGTTATATATACACACCTCTTTTACCAAGGAAATACTGAATAAACAAATAAATATTCCTGCTGCAATGGTATTGAAGAAACACTTGTATCCATCATTTCCTTTGCCAATAATGGAAACAACTGCTTCTCCAAGCATCTAACACAACATTCCTTCTTCACACAGTGCAATCGAATCACTACAAATCAATTCATAACTAGCACCAATCAACATGAAAAAAAAAACTTACCCTCCTGCTTTGCCCTCTTCTATGTCAAAGTCAAGCATGAGGTCATCAGCGCCGAGACTAGAGGCTGTGTCCACACTGTTGGCACGACTCCTACCAGAACCTACTGCAGCTGAACATTAGGAAAAGAGAAGTATGATTGTAAGCTACTTTTAAGGCAGTATATTCCATGCTATTTATCAAAAACAGTCACTGTCCTTCCATATTTCCCAATCAAGAGAATGACTAATATACTGTGTAACTGGAATATGCTAAGCTTATCATATCACTGGTTTTACTGTTTAATATTTACAACTACAAAATGATCAGATATCTGTTAGCAGATATTATATACATTGTAATTACTCTACATTTCAGTATCCTATGTTATCAAGACCTTCATCCTCTTAATTTCAAAGTTTAAATATGTTTGTAAATATATCTATATCTAACCTTATATTCATACATATCTGCATTTATAACTATATATGTATATACACATCAAAAAAGGTATGATTGACAATGAATATTTCCACAGCAAAAGAGATGTTTCAACCAGATCTTCATCAGAAGTACATTTCTGATACAGATATTGTCGATACCAATTAAACACATCTCTTGCAGTGTGAAGATATGAATTCTCATTCATATCTTGTACATTTGTTGCAATGAGCACTTTATCTTTACACAAAGTATCATTAAACTTCAGATTAAACCAACTAAAAATAGATAAATAAATAAATAAACAAATAAATAAATAAATAAAAAACATTAATGTGGTCCTAATGGGTCCACTACAACCTGTCCATGGCCCCCACGTTAAGAACCCCTACTTTCAAGTATAATCTCATCTAATAATTAAGATCATCAATTGATATAAAAATCTAAGAAAAGTTGCACAATTTGCAGAGTAAATAACAGAACAGAAATGGGGGACAAATACAATAGCTATGGAAAACATACCTGACTTAAGTGGCACATGACTTGGAGAGGTTGCTGTCAAGTCATCGAATATTCCATCATCTGTGAAGAATGAAGATGCCATTGTGGACCCACCAAACATAAGGCCTGGTTGATCTGCGATCTCATCATCAATCAGAAAATCTTGATCCAAGTCTCCCCTGCCAGAGTTTAAGGTGGGAGTGCATTTCCCAGAAAGCGTTGAGCGGTCAGACGATTCCACCATAGGATTCCCTGTGGTTGACTTTGGAGAATCTATAGAAGAATCCACAGACGATTTCATGTCTGTTGCCTTGACTAAAGTCATCCCCATTCCCACCGGTTTCTTTTTGTCAACAGGTGACCCAACTGGTGATTTTTGGGAACTCTCTGACTTGGCAATATGAGCATCTGTGGGGATACAAGATGGCTTACTCACTTCACTTGGGTTTGTCAGTTTTTCTGGTGATACAGAAGGAAGCTTTGGTTTTGGTTTCAAGGGAGGTTTGGATAATTCTTCAGTTGATGTTCTTCCTTCTGAACCTGAATTTGAAGGAGCCAGCCCCTCAGCTGACTCTTGTCTTTTAACTTCAAGAATCGTGGCCTTGCTCTCACTGATTTCTGGTTCTGTGAGTGAGTAGTCATCCCTGGCTTCCTCTGTGCTCAACTCCACTGTTTCACTTAATGATTCCAATATCTCAAATGATGATTCAGACTGAGGAGTTAGAATCTTCATTCCAAACTCATCTGGAGACTGGAGGTAATGCCCATTCACCATTTCCCCTGTGTCACAACTATCATCAACTCTCTCAGATAAACTGCTGTCTGTGTAGTCATTAGTAGTCTCTGACAAATATTCTGATGAATCCCCGTCATATGTAACAACATGTAATTTTTCCTTTTCAATAACATCATTGGCTGCTTTGTTCTCATTTGCTTTGTTGTTTTCTGGACTATGTTTCAAAGGTACTTCTTTGACTATAAGTGGTGTTTTTTCATAGGAATTTTCATAATAACTTCCATGATTTTCAGCTTCTAAAAGGATATTATTGTCTGTATGTGTTTCTACCTCGATTGAACCCACAATCAGAATGTCTTCAGCCTTTGGATGTGAGGTAGAAAGTTTAGGATTTATTCCCTGTTGTATTTCACCACTTATTTCATTTTGTGCATCACTTTTCACATTCTTGCATTCACTGTATTCCAGCCTTCTACACACAGGCTTACTAAGTTCTACTGTCTTTTCTGTGACGGGCATGACTAGAATAGGTGTCTTTTCTAAAGATGTGGGTCTGATTACTGGTTTCTTCAGACTGCTTCTTCTCACTGGTGGTTGTGGAGTAGTCTTTGTAGGAGTCTTCTCCAGCATGGCGACACGGTTTCTGACTAGACCTGAGCTTCCAGGGATCTTTGTCACATTTGTGCTTGAGTTATTAGAATTATTTGATGAAGCACCTTCACCATTCCTTCCAGCAGTGCCCTGGTACCCGTAGCCAATCACTTTTTCTCTGTCAGCTTCAGCTTTTCTTCTTCTGAGCTTGAATGTGAAATTCTTGCTTTGATAGTTACCCCTTCCCCCCCATGGACTCCCGACTGGAATGGCTGGTGTACTGTCTTAGTTTTCTGGTTTTTTTGGAACCTCTTTTGTGGGATTGTTGTTAATGACTTGATTTTGGTCCATGATCTGGTTAAAGCGTAATATTCACCTTGTTGTCATAGTTGTCTTTGCCTCTTTAGTTACTGTGCTTTACAGATGAATCTTACGAATTGGGGGACTTACAAGCTCTGCTTAAGACACCTCTCTGACTTTATGGACATGCACATGAATGTCATTGTACAGGGTCCAACTTTTCTTTGTTTGGAATTTTCATTTTCAACATAAGAACCTATCTGAAGTATGGAATTTGCACTTCACCAGATTTGACTTGCTGCTACGGAATCCGAACCTGTTGAGAGAACAAACTTAGGGCTGCTGTGGCAGTCTTGTGTGGAGCCCTCCCATGTATGGTTGCTGGGCTGGAACCACCAGAACTCCGGGAGCCTGATCGAGTCCTGTATGAATGCTGACAAAATGTGGACAAAAAAAAAACGTATAACTGTGATACTTTCCCCGTGTTATTCTAACAAAAGCTGCATTTGTTTCCTCCTAATATGTTTCTATAAAAAATCATTTCACATTATCTTTCTAAATTTCAAAAGCAGTCTATTTTACATACTTTACTTCAAAATGAAAATTTGTTTCTTTACCTAATGTTATTTTAAAATGTAAATTGCTATCATTCTCTAGAGCTATATCCTCTTCTCAACAATGAAAGTGTTGTACATTATGCAATAGCAGCATCACTGTGAAACAATTATTCTGTGATTAGCAATTAACACAAAAAATAATTTCCATTACAACATTGGAATAGAACATTTCTATAACCAAGTCACATGCCTTCACACTCTTATTCATACCATCCTCCTCCCATACTGATCTCCCAAGCACATAATCAAACAATGCTCATCTACCTTCTTCTCAGGCTTCTCTTGCGACCAAAGAACCATCTCCTTCCTCTACTCAACAAAATTTCTTCGCAGTTCAAGAAGAAATTAAGTAGCAGAAGAAGGGAAGGACAGACCAGCGTTCTCCGCACGCCAAACAGTTACTGTGTCAAGCCTCCCTCACAGACCAGTTTGTGGTTACCAGCAATGTCATCTCAGGTTACCCAAAACATTACCCATGTTGTCCAGGACTGTATACTTGTTTTTCTTTTTCTTTTCCTTTCCACTGTCCATTTTATTCTCTTAAATCTATTACACTGTATCTTATTACTGTACTACATGTATTGAAACAGAAATGTGGCAATTATGCTAGTTGGTATCTGTTGCAAAGAGGATTAGATGTAATGCTCTTTTCAGCTTCCAACCACGTGGATCTGTCACATGCTATCTCTTCCTATAGATGGGTTGTAAATATGGTTAGCAATTTGTCATCCTTTTCATAAGAAAAATAGCATCATCATTATTTGAGTGAACTTCCTAACTTACAGAAACTACTACGACATAATTGAGACTATATTTCATTATCCATGTCATTATAACATTACTATTTTAGTATATCTATATCTAAAGTCAACAAATAAGAGAGTCATACACAGTATATAAAGAAGGGATTATGACATGGGATAACTGTCTGTTGGAAGTCTGGCATAGTAAAGGTTAAGATTCCGTTAGGTTACACGTCATTTAATTAGTAAATACAATATTCAATAAAAGAAAAATCACTTTAAAGCACTTACACTAGGTGACATTTATTCTTGCCATGACACACCAAGCAGATATGCCAGGTACCAAGTTTCTTTGCCATGCTCATTCTAGCCTGCTCTATTTGTTTAAATTAAACAGTCATTTTGTTCGGCCCTGACTGCAGTCACTAAGGAGGTTCAGTCCACTAAGGTTAACTTCAGATCCTTTTAGTCTCATTCATTGAAAAATCATATATGCCACAGCCAAATCACAGAAAACAGGGAAATGATATGTTTCCCATGCTTCTAATTTTCCACTCCAGTGGCTGACTGGGCTAGGTTACCGATGCATGTCTCAATTTGGCATGGGTAAAGGCTGCTGTCACTGTTTTAAAAACATGCCTTCCATAACCATATATGGAAATAATCATGCTTGTTTGAAATATTCTAATGTACATCTGCATGAATACAATAGCCCAAGCACGATTGTGCACAATAATAGAAGGCATTCATTTTGTTTATGATAACATTCATATCATTTAACCATTGAAGCTTTGGAAACAAATCATATAAATTTCATTATTCCAGTATATATTTGAGTCTACCATCAGATTCTGAGTGCAAAATTCTTAAAGTCAATGAAAATTGTCAACTCTTATTTCTTTCCAATACAATGATCAAAATGAGATATCTAATCATGGAAGTCCATTATTTCTAGCTGAAGATCTAGGTATTCCATTAATGATGTAAATATTCCAGTCATTAATTCCTATACCTTATCTAGATGGAAAACTTATGATCTGAAGTCATTAAAACACACCAATACCAGTGAATATGTTTTAACACTTTGCTATCTTAATAATGAAAACATAAAACTAGCACAGAAACTGGAGCTCACACTTAGCGATAAGTTTGCCAACATATTTTCAGGACTATAAACTCAAAGATCAACAACCATACATGAAACATTAATGCTTAGGCACATTTATCAGACATAAATATAAAATTAGAAAAAGAAAAAGAAAAAGCTAATGGGCATTTAGGTCAGTGAAGCATGATACAACTTGTATTGTTACCATTGTGGTCTTCATATAGAATATCTAGCCATGTTCTTTTATTGTTTCTATCATGTTAATAATGTCATGAAAAAGATCTTGTGCTATATATTCAACATCCAGCTGAATTAGTCG